AAGTACATACTGGAGGTATCCTTTCTCCTCCTTGAAGTCAACATTTTCTAATATGTTCAGTCCTTGGAAGAACCAGTTCCAGCAGTTCTGTGACTGTGCAGGACAAACTGGAGTTAATAAAGGAGATATCTTCTGAAGGTTCCTCTGCTTTCATGCTTTCTGTTGACTGCAGCTCCTCAGTTCTTTGGGATGTTGTACTGTAAGAAAGCTGGGACACACCTATCCCAGTTCCTTACAGCTGTGGAGGACACAGAAAGCCATCACCTCTTGTTGACACACTGTGATGAAGTTTCTCCTCCAAAGCCTCTTCTCATTCTAAAATTGCACCCTTCATCCTGATCAGAACTTAAAAACATGCTGTGTGAAATCAATAGGGATGTGTGTGCTGTGCCAGCTTCTAAAGAGTGGCTGATGTATTTTCATCAATCTATTGCTGAAAGTTGTAGAAGTTGTCTTTGATTTAAATTACTGCTTTAAAGTAGAACATATTACCTATTTTCAGATGAATACTTAAGATGATTAGAGGGTTGGAGGTTGAAGGAATTGGGCGTAGAGAAGAGAAGGCTCTGGGGAGACCTCATTGTGGCCTTCTGGAACTTGAAGGGAGCACATAAACAGGAGGGGGAATGGCTGTTTGCAACGGTGGATAGCGATACAAGAAGGAATGGTTTTAAATTGAGACAGGGGAGGTTTAGGTTAGATATTAGGAGGAAGTTTTTCACATAGAGGGTAGTGACACACTGGAACAGGTTGCCCAAGGAGGTTGTGGATGCCCCATCCCTGGAGGCATTCAAGGCCAGGTTGGATGTGACTTTGGGCAGCCTGGTCTGGTGGTTTTCTGGTCCTTGCCTGTGGGAGGTGAAGACTAGATGATCGTTGTGGTCCTTTGCAATCCAGGCCGTTCTCTGATTTTATGATTTTGATTCAGTGATTCTGAAATTTCTCATAAAGAAACAATCATTCCGAGTCTCAGAGAGTGTTTGATACTTCTGTACTTGAACACAGAAGGCTTTAAGTTATGCTATTTTCTAGGAAGAGCACTTCTCTTTGACATGCCTCTTTGTCAAAGAAAAAATGTGCAAAGTCAGTGCTACAGGTAATCTGATGCATGCATACAGAGAGTAGTGCTGTCTGCGGGGCTGCCTGCGTCTTCTTGTCTGTGATCCCTGGAAACTCATAGTACTGAATGTGATCTCTGTGATTGCTGGCAAATAGCTGCAGAGCAAACAGCAATACTGTACAGGGCAAGACGTGCCAGTGGCATGTTTGCACAGAGGGAAATGCTCGTAAATACATGACCAACTACTATGCTTACCTGCTGGAAGTTGCTGAGAGCTCTGTTGTTGGCTTATCAGATAGCAATACCCCAATAAGAAGAAACATGGAGAGCTTTCCTACACAGTACGGCAGGAAAATATCTTTTAACAGAAGCATAAGTCTCACGCATACCTTATCACCAGAAATAGTGATAATCTTCAGCTTTACAGCAAGTTCCTCCTATATAATGATGGTAACTTTCAAAGATTTCCAAATCTCTGTGTTCCTGATTTTCCCTGTTCTCATTCAGGAAGGGTCTGAGCTGTACGACTGTGCTCATGGCTGTGGTTACCTCAGATTGATGCTGGCACATCTTTCTTCCCTAGCAGCTGTTCTACTTTTTTTCTCTAGTTTCTATTTGTGCTGTTGGCTTCATTAAATAATTTTGATCCTAACTATCAGTTCAAAATTACATTACACCATGTTTATATATTGCTAGAGGATGTCTTCTGTTTTTTTCTTCTTTCCCAGCTGTCACATCCATGTAGGTGTTGTGTTTCCTTGTTTTCTCTTGACTTTTCCTATAGCATTAGTTGTCAGCCTAACAAACTTGGGTGTTAATTTAAACACACTTTTGGTAATGCAAGTGGGATGGCTGTCATTTCACCCGAGGTTCCGTGACATGGTTGTTGACTTGCTATACTTGGATCCAAACTGCTCTGAGTCAAATACCAGAATACCAGTGTTGGTATTTCTTAAAGTGTAAATCAATACCAGAAAGCTGAAAATGCACTGACAGTTTAACCGATGTCCCCTATTACTGGAACAAATTAACCATTAGTCAAGGGCAGTGTTTTGCCATTAAAGACTTCAGTATTTTCCCTGTAAAGTGGTGGTTTTTTTCAGTGGAATTAAAAAGAAAACCAGTGAATGAGGCTCTGGAGAACTAATAACTCTTAATTTTAATAGCCTCAAATTACAGAAGGCTTTCAGGACAACTGTTCTGTCCTTTGGCCTTTCAGGTGTTCAGATGCTGCTGTTCTGTGTTTCTTACCCCTAGAGGTACCTGTAATTGTTTGCTACCTGTGTATAGCAAGGTGGTTTTTTCGTAATCAAAAGAATTTTAGTGTAATTTCAAGTTTTCAAGTGCTTGCCTTAGAGATGAGAAACACTTATATTTTGGTTCTGCTTAGCAGATGAAAATGATTCTCTTGTAGCTTAAATAGAAATTAAATAAATTAAAATACAGGAGTTCAAAATAGGATAAGCATTGGTAATCATGCCTATTTGTATCTTCAGTGAAAATAGTAAGCTGTAAAAAACCAATTTGCCCTTGCAGTATTTATTATGAAGTTTCAGTTAAATGTTTAGCCTAAGAGATGAACATTGATAATGTAAAGAGGATGGAATCCAGTTTGTGATAGGAAGATAAAGGATATAAGTCTGTATGGAAATTCAGAAAATTAGGCAGCAAGTTACACCCGCCAAGATTTTGTTTTCCATTATGTGCTAAGAGAAATGGCAAGTATCAGGATGCAGCAAATGGAATTAATCTCTGAAAAAAAGTGTGCACTGCATTTAAAATGCTTGTTTAAATGATGCATTGAGTATAGGGAATAAAGAAAGAAACAGCTGAGCCTACAGTTATTTTATTTTATAAAATCTCCCTGTTTTGTTCTCCTGTTCCTGGAATTAGCCAAGGGAGACTGAACAGACTCAGCCTGCTTTGATAAGTGCTAGTTATCCCTGCACCATAAAATGCAAATGACAAAGGATGCACATTCCGCACAGCGTATTTCTCAGTGCGTATTTCTTTACGTGTAAGTAGCAACACTAATGTACATAAGCAAAAGCAGGGCATAGTGAAAGCAACCCAACCTACTTTATTTACTTATTTATTTTTTAAAGATTGCGATTCCCTAATTTGAAACTTGACAGTGGATAGATACAAAATTAATCCTATCTTCCAGTGGAAAAAAAACAGGGCAAAAACTTTCTTAAGGACACATGGTACTTAAGTAGCTGTGACTTGTTATTTTTTGTCCCCAGTGAGTCTAGTTTCTCTCCCCAGAGCATTTTGTCTTCGTGTTAGTCCCGCACATTCTAAGAACTGAGCTGCCTTTTTCCTGGGCAAGAATACATTGTAATGTATTGTGGGTGGTTTGTTTTCTCAGTTTCATATTAAAAACACGTGTGGACATTTAAATGAGAAAGAAAACAATTGAAGACCACAGTAATACTACTGGCAGTTTATGAAGTTTGCTGTTCAGGCTTGGTATACAATGATGGTTTACATTCAGAAATGCTCCTTATCGACGTTCGTAAGTATCTAAAGGGTGGGAGTCAAGTGGATGAGGCTGGGCTCTTTTTGGTGGTGGTCAGTGACAAGACAAGGGGCAATGGGCACAAACTGGAATGCAGGAAGCTCCATCTGAAGATGAGAAAGAACTTACTTACTGTGAGGGTGACAGAGCCCTGGAATGGGCTGCACACAGAGGCTGTGGTGCCTCCTTCTCCTCTGGAGATTTCCAAGACACACCTGAATGCTTTCCTGCAACTTGCTGTGGAGAGCTGCTGTAGCCAGAGGTTGGACTTGGTGACCTCCAGAGGTCTCTTCCGAGCCCTATGAGTCTGAGATTCCATGACGCTTAACTAAAAAGAGAAGAGTCTGGAGAAAATAGAGTATAAAACACAATTCCTGGCAGATTCTTAGAAAGAACTTCTGAAAGCTTACAGGGCCAACGTTTGATATTTGCAAAATCATATTCACAGCCACTTTGTATTTGGTTTTATATCCAAAAAATGGTGATGGAATTTTGTACTGACTCATAGGCTTGTATAACCTGCTAATGACATGAATCTGTTACTCATGAATGTCACCTTTCTCTTGTAATGATTTTCTTAAATAACTCATGACAACCATAAAAGTCTAGAATCATATCTGAGCACAGGAGTAAAACCTACAGTCCTGTACATGTACAAGTTAAGTTCTCCCAGTCACATTCAAGACAGTCTGAAGCACAGCTTTCTTCAGTCTGACCTGGCCTCTTTCACTTTGCAGAAAATGTTCTGTAGCTCTCAAAGAGAGGTAACATTTCCTTTGTGTAAAGTCTGTAAGTACTTCATTCCAATTAGACTTTTGTGACAGAGTGTTCTGAGTGTATAAGAGGCAAATAAATGGCTCTTGGGTGCTAAGTTTTATTCTTTCAGCTAGAAAGAATTTTCCATGTATAGAAAAAGTGAACGTTGTTATGCCGTTTATGCCTGAAATCGTAACATTTTATGTTTCCTGTAAGAACTTACCTTGCAAAACACTGACTTCACTTAAAACAGACATTATTCCTTTGGGTCAGGCAGAACCTTGGCATTTCAATCCTCTAGCTGAAGTCAGAGTTGACAACATGCTGTATTGAAAATAATACGATTCTGAAGAGGCAACAGCTGTTTTTGTCAAGTGGGCTGTCTTTCACAGTCTGAACAAGCTTTGCAGGCATCTAATTTTAAAGCTGACCAGTCTGCGTACCCTCCCCTGTGCACCAGAATTTCTGGAGCTGCAGAACTGAGTAGGAAGTGATTGCTGCAAGTGAAAACCGAAATAAGGTGGGAACAGCTTATCTAGATGGTATTTCATAAATCTGAAACAAATCTGAAGTTATGCTGTCACAGTTACTTGTAGAACCCAATATAAGCTGCCACTTATAGTAGAAATCATAAACCAGTATGTTCTTTCCTTTCACATTTAGGAAAACATCTCTAACTTTGACATCGTCATGGAGTCTGATGAGGGCACCTTCAAGCCATCTGGGCTGGCTTTTACTGGTAATGCCAAAGCTCGTGACATCGTGAAAGAGATCATGGCTCTGCTACTGCCTATCAACGTTACAGAAGTTTATGACACTGCAGATGGAACAGACATCAATTTCTGGATGAGGGACGGAGTGCCTGGTGAGAGTACTTTGCAAAGAAAATTCCTTCTGTAATACAGTGGCACGTCAGGGGAGCGTTCCTGCAGGCTCTGGCAGCCTGATGTTTTTAAGATTGTAAGGAAGACTTCCCCTTGAGGAATAGTATTTACCATGGATAAGATGCAGAAATGTTAAAAGGTAGCCAACAAAAATAGGGCATAATTTGTATTTGAGCTTCAGTTTAATAATGGTATAGATTATGCATAGCATAAACATGCCTAAAATCTTCTTTTAGGCTTAAGGATTTACAATAATTAATCCCAGACTGGTGGTTTATAAATAGTAAACTAAGGCAGAGGGGAATTCTGCAGTGCAGAACAAATAATTTTTTCATTATTAATATTTTGACTTTGAAATATATGGCATCTTTTTACTGTTTTGTATTTATACAAAGAAACAATATTTTCAAGAGATGACTCTAAAAGCGTGTGGGGCATTAAAGAGTGCTGAAGAGGTAAAATTCTGTGAAGTTTGATTTGGCATAGGGAGTTATCTGTAATATTACATCTATGTCCCAGTAAGGAGCAGATTCTGCTAAAGAGGCTTGCATGCTGGCACAGAGGTATCCCCAGCAGCCCCCCTGGCCAGGACACACCGTGCTGCACAAGGTTTTGCAGGGGACAAGAGTCCCAGTTTTGCAGGAGATAAGAGCAGCCTGGGAAAAGCCTTAGTGAATTTCCGTGATAGTTTCCACGCCAGATTAATAGCGTGAAGAACAAAGTTTCATAACAGTGATGCTTAAAAAATTATGGTCAGTTTTAAAATTTTAACATTTTTTTTCCCTTAGTTCTTTATGACTGAAGTAGGCTGGTGCATTTCCATGCTCATTTTACCATGTGATTGGACTCTCCTAGTAGTTGATTAACTGCCTTGTGTCTTACTTGGTCCTGTGCAGTGAGTCATACATTATATTCTTTTTATTTATGGGCAGAACTCTTTGCTTCTGGCCCATATGGGTTGCACCATGATACCATAACGTTGACTACCACGATAAATGTATGAAAATCTAATTTTCAAAGCAGAATATCTATGCTGGACAAGAAGTATGGAGGGGTACATATTGTTAAATAGCCAGAGATCTGTCTTCAGTTGGCATACAATTTTCCAGGTGAGGTGCAAGTTGTTCAGTGCAATGAGATACAACTATGACACTGCTGTGAACTCATGTTCCTAGGCTCTGCTTATGCATCTCACATGAGTATGAGCACTTTGTGATGGGTTTAGAGACTGTAAGCACTGCTAAGAAGCTGTAGCTGTGGTATGCATCATCCTCCATAGCCTGTAAGCATCCGTGTAAGGATGTGTGGTCCAAAAAATGCAAGTGTATCAGAACAGGTAAGATACTGGGGACAGCATGCGAGGGATATTACAGACAGTTAACTGGGAACTTCCAGGCAGAGGGTAATAGATCACGGAAAAAGATACTAAATAAAGCAGTTCAGTGGTGTTTGATAAGAGCTCACTCTGAGGAACAGCACTCAGGAGAAGATGGAGCCCAGATCTCTCAGGATGAGGCTTTGTGGTCAGGTAAGTCTCTGGTGTCTTCAGAAGGTATAAGCTGTAAGAAACATCTTAACTTATAAGCTTGCTTTACACCTTAGTGTAAAAAATAAATACACCACTGAGTCCTCTGCATTAAAATCTGATTTTCTTTCCTATTAAAAATTTGGCATGTTAATTCATGTTAGTTTTTTTTTATATATATACTGTTTGAAGTTTTGATTCATTTAACTTTCAGTTAAGCAAATAATACAGTGTTCTTACAGCATAGGGCACAGAGATTCCTTTCTCCCCATTGATCCCTGATGGGAAGGATTTAACTCCACTAAAAACATTTCTGCTGCTTTGGATTGTATTTTATATTATACCAGGCAGAAGTCTACAGCATCTTGTAATCTTCACGCCTTGTCTGCAGTATTCTCACTGCTTGAATGAGTCCTTATGGTATATTATAACATTGGAACACATTGAACACTCTGTAACAGCTTTTATAATTTTGTCCAATTTAAACATGCAGTCAAGTGTTGTCACTTCATCAATTTTATTTAAATATTTTCTTGAAAGTACAGTTGTTGTCTTTCTTTCTGTAACAGTTCAAGAAAATATGCTCTACTTCTTGAACAATAAGAACAATAAGAACGGTTCTCTAGCATTTTTCTCCTTTTTAAATAGATTCTGAGATTCTCCTTTTTACGTACAATTAGAAATCTGCTCCTTCTGCTCCGTTTGGCCTGAAAGATCCACAGAGCACGAGAGTACGTGTGTTGTTCAGAGCTGTTTGTGATTGCTTCTGGGACACACACAGTGACTCCAGCTCCTCAAACGCCGCCATTTCCAACGTTTTTATTTTTAAAGGGCATGCAATGAAGTGTCCTTAAATTTCTGTAAGAAAAAGGTGCTGTCTACTCTCAGGGAGTAAGAAAGGCCAAATGAGTTCAGAGTGCTTTGCGAGCAGTGGAATGAAGCTTAACAAATGCCCCTAAAGTACAAGCAAGGTGATCGGTGCTGAACACAGCAGTTTCATGCTTTGTGTCTGCAAAGTATTAGATATATTTCCATCAGCAGCCTTTATGTTTGATTATTTTGAGAACAGCTTAGCCCAGCAATGAGGAATGTCTGGAGCTGTGTTTTTCTAGTGATAGCCAGTTTTCAGCTACTGAAAATATTTGTATTGCATTTGTTTTGCTTTTTCATGAAGCATAAATCAAATTGAACTTTTGTGTGTGTGTGTGGTATTGTATTTTATGCTATATTTTTACTGTTTGAGGTGGCCATTGATCCTTAGACTGCTTCTATATTAATTACACAATTACCTTCCTCACTTTTAAGGGATCAATTATGTATTTTTTTAAATTAGATATATATCTAAACTGTTGCACATAAAGCCATTCATTTCCAACACTATGACAGTCAAGTTTGGCCAGAATTTACACACGTAGGTGTGGAGATGGTTTTTTTTGTTTTTTTGTTTGCTCTTTTTTGTTTGTTTGTTTGGCTTCTGTGAATGCTTTTGCACAAATCTTGTTCACTGTCTGAAAGGGATAAAAAATCATTAAGCAAGTCCAGCTGGACCAGCACTCCGGAGGTTTTGTTTAAAAAGCAAGACATGATCATCACAGATCTGCTTCTAAAATGATTTAGACCAGTTCTTAAAGTAATAGCACTGGGGCTGGGTCAACCTTCCCTGCAAGCTTCTGGAAATTGAAAAGGGGAAATGAGGTGACTCTATTTGTGTTATGGTATCCAGAGAATATGAGTTCAGCTTTAGACACCAGGGGAGAAGAAAACAGGTGCTCTCCCATTTCTGCAAAGGGAATGTTGTTATGACACGCAGTTTCCCAGAGAATTGGTTCAAGTTGGCTCCTTTCTGCTGGCCTGGTAGGGGAGGTTATTTGTTGCTACGGGTACTTCTGATGAGAACATTTGTCCATGACAAACTGAGCTGTATTTGAGACCAAGCTGACCCAGGACATCAAACAACCCTCAATGGAACGTTTCCATTTAAAATTCAACCAGATACCTAAAGGTGAAACTCCTTTTTACAGTGTCACGCTGAACCCTTGCTAGTTGTTCATGTCTCTCTGTCTCCACAGTGACAGGGACTTGCTTTTTTGGTGCATTACAGGAGAGGAGAAATTATTATTCCAGAAATGAATAAACCAGTAGCTCATCTAACTTTAATATTTCTTCAAAAATCAAAAACTCACTGCTAACCCAATCTATTTGTCATTTTCCTAGAGCTGGCAAACAAATACTGTCATATATAATTTCTCTCATTTTTATAGAACTTCTTTATTACCTTCATAAAACTTCAACAGTAAGATATGCTTTTGATCTTGGATGCTGGACTTTTATATGCAATATTTTCTTTCTTGTCACGAAAGAGGTCAAACCCTCGAGTTCCACTTCTTTTCCGGACCACGCTGTCCCTTCATCCCTTGTCCCTTCCATCAGTCAGAGCACCAAGCACCATCTAATGCCTGCTTGAATGCGTGAGCTGAGCCCAACTGTCTGCTTGGTGTCAGCTAAAGGCGTGCTTGAGGAAGCAGTGTAATGGGAAAACTCTCCGACTTGGGCCAGCCAGCTGAGTGTGGAGAGTTAGGTAGGCTCTCTGTTCTCCAGATTATTGGTGGATAGACTCTGCTAACTCTTGGCTGTGTCACTGTTTGAAAGCAATTTTCCGCTGTGATGCTTGATCCCTCAGAATACCTGTTTCATGGGCTCATACAAACTTGGGCAATCTTTGGATTCAGTTTCTAAGCTCCCTTTTTTTTTTTTTTTTTAATAGAATAATAGAAACTCTAAGAGAAAAAAATAAAAAAAGAGGAAAACCACACCGTAATAGGCTTAGGACTTCATAGACCTATGCTGAAGGGTCTTTAACTTGATTACACAGAGGTAGTGAATTTCTCCATTTGCAAAGATGGTCCTGTAAGATGAGGGAAAGAAAAATTGGTTTCCTTAAAAAATAGAGACACTAGCTATTAGTCCTTCACTTTAGTAGATAGTATTTGTGTGATTTGTGATCTCAGATGGTTAGTGCAGTGTCACTCGGAGAGCCCAGTCTTTTCATCAAGTGACTCACAGAAGTGTAATGGCTCCTGCTACTCAATGAGCAAACAGTTAAACAAAACTCTTAAACCCTACTCACAAAACCAACTTTGCACACTGTATCCAATAATTTTCATAATTTTAGTTACTTCACAGGTGCCTCATTTCTGTGCATGAAGAGTTTCCCGGTGCTGAAACACACCAACAGCACCAGTTGCCAGCCACCGGGTGCCTGTTTTGCTTCTTTGTGGAAATGAGGTGTAAAGGATGTCAGCTGTGCACCCATGGCATCCCCAAATCTTGATCTCATTAAGTATGAGTTAGGTATATCAGTAGTGTTATATGATAATTAGCAAAATCATATTGCTTTTTCTAGGTCATTTGTTTCCTTTTAAATATTCTATCATTTTAAGGGAAATATGGTGAATGAATATGTTCCTCTGCAGAAGTCAAAGTTTCTGCAACTTGGGAGGTATTAAATTAAACCAGTATGCTAAGGGAACAATTTTAATTGCTTAGCACTTAAAGAACCTACTATACAGGCTACAGCTACTAGAGCCATTTAAAATCTTGATTGAAGTTTGAACTGTGTGTATTAATCTGTACAATAATTCATCTATTCGCAAATTTATCATTGTTCCATAAAAATAGGCTTTTGAAATTAGAAATAGCTCTAGAATAATTAAAGGAATTTAATATGCTGTAAATTTTTATGAAGGTGAATACCTTAAAATGCTCATAGTTTAGTATAATATCTCAGTTACATTAGCCTCTCATATGACCTTGTCTGCTTTTAGTAACATTAATAAAGTCTTTAAGGCTAATAATTTAATGAAAGGACTAGTCTGTACATTATGGTATGTTTTCTTATTAGTTGTGCTATTTGACTACCAGACAGGCTCGATCGTACTTTGCATACATTTCTTTTCACCTTTGTTCTTCTTGGACATGTCTTGTTTTTGGCATATTGCTGTATTGAACTACTTCTAGTAATTAGCCAAAAGCATCAGAATTATAATTTTTTTTGTTTGGTGTAGAATAGACCAAAGACATGCAAATGTTCAGCAGGAACATTTGGCTGGTGGCTGGTGACAGGACAAAGAACTGTCCCTGAATGCAAATTTTAATAGTAGTTTTAACAGGGCTCCTATAATATGCTTCTCATTAGAGCATGTACATTTCTAATATGAGAGCACAGAATGATTCTGTCAGATAAAAAATAATGTGTCATTTTTGGGGCAAAATATTTCATGATTGTAGCAAATACATGAAAACTGCTCATTCACATTCATTTTGCCACAAATGAAGACTACTTCTAAATTAACTTTCTGAAGTCTACTTTAACTGTGAGTTCCTACAGTTCAGCTAATAAGTTTTTGAGTCAGAAAACGCAGCTGGGAGAGCAGTGTCCCTTTTCCTACCCAAAGATCAGGTTCGTGACTACCTGAGGAATCTGAACTTCCACAAGTCTGTGGGTTTCAATGACATGCATTCCCAGATTCCCTAGGGAACTGGCTAACATAGTTGCTAAGCCACTCTCAAGATATTTGAAAAGTCATGGAGGTCAGGTGAAGTTCCTACATATTGGAAAAATGACACATGGAACTACCGACTTCTCAGCCTCACCTCAGTGTGGAGGAAGATAATGGAGCAGGTCCTCATGGAAGCAATGCTAAGGCATATGGAAGAGAGGGATGTGTTATGGGATAACCAGCATGGCTTCACCAATGGTAGGACTTGCCTGGCCAACATAGTAGCTTTCTGTAACGGTGTAACTGCATCAATGGAAAAAGGAAGAGCTACTGATGTAATCTAACTGGACTTTGACACGGTCCCCCACACTAACATCCTTCTCTCCACATTGGAAAGATATGGATTTGATGAGTGGACTGTTCAATGGACAAGGAAATGGTTTGAGATCATACCCAGAGAGTGGTGGTCAATGGCTCAGTGTCCAGAAGGAGAATGGTGACAGGTGGTGTCCCTCAGAGATCAGTATTCTTTAATATCTTCACCAATTATAGAAACACTGGGATTGAGTGCACCCACTGCAAGTTTGTGCATGACACCAAATTGTGCGTTGCGTTTGATGCCATCCAGAAAGACCTAGGCACGCTTGAGCAGTGAGCCTATGTGAACTTTATGAAGTTCAACAAATACAAGTGCAACGTGTGACACGTGGGTGGTGGCAACCCCTGCTATCGGAACAGGCTGGAGGATGTAAGGATGGAGCACAGCCCTGCCAAAAAGGACCCGTGGGTATTCGTGGATGGCAAACTGTCTGTGAGGCAGCTTGCAGCCCAAAAAACTAGCCATATCCTGGGCTGCATCAAAAGAAGCTTGGTGGGCAGGATGAGGGAGGTGATTCTCTATGCTGCTGGGACCTCACCTGGAGTACTGCATCCAGATACGGAGTCTTCAGTATAGGAGAGATGTGGATCTCTTGGAGCACATCCGGAGGAGGGCCACAAAAATGATTCAAGGGTGGAACACCTCTCCTATGAGGACAGGCTGAGAGAGCTGGGGCTGTTCAGCATGGAGAAGAGAAGGCTCTGGGTAGATCCGAGAGTGGGCTTTCAGTATCTGAGGGGAGACTATAAGAAAGATGGGGACATACTCTTTAGCAGGACAAGGAGAAATGGTTTCAAACTAAAACATTTAGATTTAAATCGGGCATAAGAAGGCTATTATATGTTAAGGGCAGTGAGGCACTGGAACAGGTTGCCCAGAGGGGTGGTGGATGCTCCATCCTGGGAGACGTTCAAGGTCAGGCTGGATGGCACTCTGAGCAACCTGATCTAGCAGTTGTCCCTGTTCATTAATGGGGAGTTGGACCAGATGAGCTTTAAAGCTCCCTTCCAACTCAAAGGATTCCATGATTCTATGATTCTAAAAGTAATTTATTTGAGACTGATAGGAATATTCTGAAGAGAAATGTCAGGACCAGCAAGGGTGATTGCAGCTATTACTAGCAGACAGTAGTGGTTTACTGTGTGCAATATTAGTGACATTTTGGTCAGAGCAAGATCACAAAGGAACTGCAGGAAGATCTGAAAGTCTGGAAACTGTACCGTACATTGTGAAGCTGGAGATGTTAGAATCTTTTCCAGTTAATGGAAAGGTATGGTTTTCAGTTTATGTAAAGGGATGACTCAAGCACAGCATATAAATTAGGCTGGAAAGAGATTTTTTCATTAGAAAAAATGTATGTTTTAGCCTTGTTTTATAAAATAGTTCATTAGCAATTCAGCCTGTGAGACCCCCAGAAAATTCCAAGTAGATGAAAGCAAGCACCTTCTTGCAGTAAGTTTAGTCAGCTACAAAAGCAACTCGCATTCTTGCTGAATTCTACATCATTTTGAATGTGTAAAACAAGACTTGAACGTCCTTCAAAAAGTAAAGGGTAATTCAAGCAGGAGGAATGGGTCTGATGCAGTAGTTACAAGGTGAGGTTCTGTGCCATGTGTTATTCAGAAGATCTGATTAGATGGTAACGGGTCTCACTAGCCTTAAAACATCTATGAATCTGCCAGTAAATTTTAGAAGCATTTTTCATCAGCTAATGCCTCCTTCCCATTTAATTCTCATCTACTTCAAGCAGAGTAGATTTTTCAATATCACAAGTTCTTGTCTTTAGTTTGAACAGCATTTAGGTAGTTTTAACTACGATTAAAAATACAGGATTATTGTTAACTTGCCAATCTCAGAGGAAATTTGACCTCTGAAATCAGAAGTATTTGCTAAGCTGTACCCTACAAAGCTTAAAAGCTTGATTTTTTTTTTCTTTTCTATTTCTAGTTATTATCTTTTTTCAGCGCCTGTGATGCATTTTGTTTGAGAATGTTTTCTTGGTTGTCATAAGCTATAAATTGCTGCATTCTGGCTTGGCAGCTGATAATACTGTATTTATCATTCAAAAAATTGAGACAAGGCAACTTTGAAATAATGTTATATGAATGTTACAGTACATCAGTTTGAAGCTCTGACATTTTGGTTGGCTTTTATAAATCTATAAGAAGTAAATTTTTCCTCTGCATTCAACACTTTTCAAATACTAAGAAATGTCATTAATGAAAAGCAAAAATCAAACAAAATCAAACAAAAGCATAAATTCTAATGATTCCTGCACTTTCTGGCTCATGGGCTTCTTAAGGATATTTTATCACTGTTGCATCTGTAAATATCAGAGTGATTGATTTTAGTGTTTAGTGTTTAGATAGATTTTAGAGCACTGACTGCAACATTTTAGTTCCTAGTTTTAGATGTATGCTCTTTCGAAAAGTTACAAGAAAGAGGTTGAGGTAAATGACCCCATTATTATCTATGCTCCTTATCAAAGCACACACAATCCCAAAATGTTTCAGAACCCGTCAATGAGTTTGTGCCTGGCACCCACCTTTTTTAGTAGGAGAAGATGCTTTTTCTCAGAAAAGAAATGCTGAAAAGATCTGACTGAGAATCTCATTTGGATCTGGGGTGTGGTTGGTTTTTTTCTGGCTGTGCCTCTGAGAGGCATTTTAATCCTCTATTGTTTACTGCTTAGGAAAGCTGAATTCTGTTTCTGTGGGTGGGAATATTCTTTTCATATGGAAGCGTTTGCCATTTGTTGATCCTAAAAAATCAAGTGTCCTACATTAGTGCACAGAGCTCAGTGTTAACATGTTAAATATGCAGCTTGGAAGTACAAGTTACTTTAAGCCTTATTCCTAGAACTGTTCTCGATTTCACTGAAGCTCAAGGAAATAATGAAGTAAATAGGAAAAAAAAAAAAAGGCTTTAATTTGTGTTCTGTAAGGAAGTTGGAGATGGAAATATGTTTGCCAGTGGAAAAGTGTGGAAGTTAACTATGATTCTGCCCAATTTTTTTCCTTTCTGGAATTTGATGATGAAGAATTAGATAGGCTCACGAGCTGGAAATGTGGGGAGATTTCTAACCAAATGTGCAACAATTCAGAATGGCTCAGCAGCAGTTCATTTAATTCCTGGAAAACAAACTGTAATGGCATCAGCATTAAAAACTGGATAAAAAATAAACTGTTCAGTAGCTGAGCTCTCCAGCAAGACCATTTGTAAGCTACTCCTGATGGGAAGGGCACAGGTTAAAAGGATTAAGATTTGCCTTACAGCTTTCAAGTTGTTTCCTACATGAAGTCATGTGATGTTTGCAATATGATTCTTTAGGGATTAGTACATCCTCAGCTACTCAGTTTTCATTGATGGTTTGGAATCAAGTTTAAAATCACAACTTATTTGAAAAACGTACAAAACAGAGCTGATGTAAACACTGTTGGGATGATGAGAACAAGCTGATCATCTGGACATGGCTTTCTTTTTAGAAGCCCTTCTTTTTTTTAATTTTTTTTTTTTTCACTTTGTAAAATGAGCTCAACCTAATCCAAGGTGACCTTATTTGATGTCTGCTATAAGAAAGAGAGGAATTTTCTTCTCCTTTTTCGTTGCTCATGGAGGTATCCCAGAGGACTAGCTTAGAGTAGGTAAAAGATGTGCAGGCCATTGAAGACAGATGAGAAGAACCTCAGCCTAAGAGAATTTTCATAGTTCTTTTGGTTGAGTTGGACTTCTGGAAGTTACCTTCTTCCCCAAGCAGGAATATTTTCAAGGCTAGATAATGTTGCTCAGAGCCTTGTCCAGAGCTTCTTTTTGTCTGTAAGCAGCAATAAAGAGCAAGGAATCTACATTACCTTCCTTAATACTTTAGCTAGTATATCTTCTGCTGGAATCATCATCTTCTGTAATTAATTCGGCCCAAAAATAGTTTTACCTGATCAAATGTATTGGGAGCTTCCTGGAGATGTATTTTAGGGACACAGAAGCAAATCTGTTAGCAAGGAAAAAGTGTGCACCTAAATATGAGCAGCAAATATGCAAATTCTCCCCCCAAAGAGCCAGAAAACCTAATTAAGAGCTATTATCCATCAGCACCACTCTGTCCAAGGCTCTTGGCTATTTGCAGCGCCAATGACAGAGCACATTCTCAATCACCATGTAGCACTTGGAAGTCCACCAAAGGAAATCGGCACTTTTCCTGTTGCTTAGCTGGCTAAACTGGATTTTAGAACAGTTCAGTTCTACTGACTGTGTTAAATGTGAGCAATGACCTTCTGGGACAGCAGAACTTTTGTAGTGGTGGCTGGTGTTATTTATGAAAGCTAAAGTAAAGAAATAGCTGAAAGCAAGGAGTCTCAAACTCTGGACTCCAGACTCCTGAGGGATTGTGGATTGCTCGTGAAACTTCAACTGCAACAGGGAGGAGAACAAGTTTATTGTCAAGGGGCTTGATTATCCATCTGTTGTTGGTAGGGATCATCCGTGTGTTAGAAAATGTGTATGGAGATTAAAATTGTAAGCAGTTGAAAGCCATTGATGTGGCATTGTGGAGAGGAACAAAAGTTTAGTAGCTTGGTTTCCCAAAGGCTAGATTCTCCATCTCTACAAGCAGAGACACAAAGGTTTGAAGCACTGGCCTTCTGAGATATCTTGGATTCCCTCGGGGTGTGTAATGTGCAAATACATCGTTGGCTAGAAGCTGCTGGGTGTAACATACAAAAGTAAATAGATACAACACTGAAAAACTAAAACAGTGTTTGTTTGCTTGTTTGTTTTTGGGAAATAATTTACTGTGAAGAAATTGGCTGGACCAATGCTGGAGTTCAAACTGGTGATCTCTTTCTCTGACTGTATCTTTTTCTCTGTCTTCCCTTCCTCCATCTCTCTCTTTTGTTTCTTTTTCCTTTGTAAAGGTATGTTGTTATTTGTAAAGGTACTTTGTTAAGTAATGCAAAGTTTCAATGTCTTAGAAAGTCATATAATTTAGCTGCACATCCTAAATAGATATAGTTGTAAGAGTGCCGATACTTTTAAGATAATTGCAGTACAGAAATTCTCATTCAAATTGATGATTGTGTCCGGACCTTGAGTGCCAGTTTCATGTTAATCTAACCAGGGGGATTTTGCAAATCTGGTCACCCATCTCTCCCTTTACAGGCAGAATGTGACAACCACCAAACTGGTTCCAGGCTTTCTGCAACTGGCCTGATGAGTCTTAAGGCAAAAATAAATAAATAAAAGAATGTGAGAGATGTATATGAACAGCACAGGAAAGGTGAATATTCATCCTCTGTAATATTGTTTTATAGATGATGCTTCATTATATTACAAAGAGCAACTATTCACCTTTTCTTATGCAGTCGAAGGATCAGGATGTCAGCACCAACTAGAGGGCAGACACCAGACAAGATAACTTCTCTAGGCAGTGCATATTTGAAAGGAGGAGATCAGCATCAGAAGATGTTTTGGAAACCAGAATTAAACATAAATTTAAAAAGGATGGATTACTGAAAGGGAGCAAGTCCCAGCAAGGGCTGTTGAACACAATGATAGGAATGCAACCTCTCTTTCAAAAAAGCCCTTAAGCTGCAGATGGCTGGGCTGAAGGTTATGGTTCTCCTCTTCCTTCTCACAGCATTGGCTGCTGCCAGAGGAAGGATAGCAGGCTAGTTGAAACTTTGCTCTTTTTTCCCCAGTTGACTCTTCTTGTGTTCTAAGTAGTGCTAGCCTGCATATAGGTGAAATAGTGCTAAGTAGTCTGGCTAATCATGCACAGCACTCTGTATAGTCTCAGGCCTTTTAGATCCAGGTCTGTGCTGGATGTTATTTAGGGTGTTAGCATATAATTGTGCTGCAGCCTTTCCTCTGAGCCTTGTCTCCATACAGTATGAACCTGAGACTCTCCTTCCACAACCAGGTCTCTTCAGGCTCAAGGTGCAGGAGCTGGCCCAAGCTGAGGGGCAGGTTGAGGCAGATGAGAAGAAGAAAGGGGAGAGGGATGATGATGTAGCTGGAGCAGTGCTGTGTGGATTATTAGGCCTGCGGCTTTGCAGTCTGACTGCTTTCAAATGAAAGCATTTTTTTAGTTTGTTCCAGGTTTAAGCCAGAGATAAACAGGAAATTAATGATACCAGTGCCATTATTGACTCCTTCCTTATTATTTCTGTTCTGTGCTTTAAAAATGGTAACCTAACCTGCAAGCAGATGAGACAGTGCACAGCAGACCTTCAGAATTACTAGGACTCTGAAATAAGCTGCATGTGTTTGAAATACTGAAAAAGCTGTTAGTATCTTTCCATTTGTGTTTCAGAGCAGAATTAAGGACCCCTGTACATGATACAGATGTCACCGAAAGAAGGCTGCACACTGTTGTTTTTCTTGCACTCAGACCCTACCTGGTGCATCTCACAGACTAACTCAGGCCATTTGTCACAGTGATGGACCCCCTGGAGACACCAGGAAGCCCTGCACAAGCTGCAGTTTGTACCTTCCTCGTTTGTACAATTTTCAGATAAGCCACAGTGCATAATCCTTTTGTCATCTGTTCTCAGCCTATACACATGTATGGGGCTGCTGAATCACAGCCTGAACCTCTGATTGATCACTTGAGGCAAGCAATAAGTCAGCCACGGGTGCACAGGTGAAGGCAATTCACCTGTGCTGCAGAAAGGAGTGGAGCCTGGCTTCACCTCTCCTAAACCCATGTAAGAGCTGGCTACCAGTGGGGAAGGATCCCTTCTGGAGATCTGCTCCACCTGAGTTTCCCACATGAGCTCAGGGTAGGGTAAGTGTCCTTCTTTTCTGCTCTAATATAATAGCTGCATAAGCCAAGCTCTCGGATATACTGTATCATCTGTATATTCATTGATTGTACAACACAGCATGCTACAGAAAAATGGCAGTCACAGATCACTAAAATCCCTGAGACTGGCAAAACTGAGGTTAATTCCTGGGGTGTGTTTTTTCCCCATAGAAAAGGTATAGAACGCTCCTAAGCTACAGCTGTTGCCATCCTTGAGATCTAGGTGTGCACCAGCATTGCTCTCCAACTTATAACTGATGGGAGCAGGAAGGAGAGTGGCTTAGACAGGGCTGCTCCAGCTCTCACAGAGCCAGGGCTGGAGAACCACAGGCTGGGTATGTCAGGACTTTGAAGGGATCATCACATGTCATGTGTTGTGCAAATGTCTTATGCCTTCTCTTCCATGTAGGTTCTCTTTTGATCAGACAAGTAAGTTCCAGGAAATCCATTAATTGTCATACAACTTTGAGGCATGTTTTTTGTGAACGTTACCTTGGTGCTTTTAAAAAGCACTGTTATTTCTCTCAGTACAATCAACCTAGAGTCAACTTCATGTTACTCTTGCTTGCCCCACAGATGTGACTTCAGGTTTCTGATAGCCCAAGTGGGACAGGGCTATGTGTGGGACCTGTATCTCTGACACTCCCGTCCCCCTGTCAGAAATCCTCAAGGCTTATCTAAGAGAAGAAGCTCTTCTGTAATAACCTAATGAGGCTGTGTGTTCCTGTGGAAGCCAGCAGGACCCCAGCTTCACCCTGTGCCTTGGGCTGATGCTGTTCTCTGGAGCAGCTGTGTTGTGGCTCTGCCTCCCCCAGCTGTGAGCTCCTTCCAGTCTGTAGCCCGGACTCCTGCTCACAGCTCCCTTCCCAGGCTCTCTGCATCATCTGCTTTCCTTCTGCTCTTCCTTCTGCATCAGCAAGTCATGCAAAGGAAAACCCACATTACTGTTTTGGTGTTCTGTTTAACTTTGGTTCAGTGGAGAGAAAGTAGAGCATCCTTTGTGCAGAAGAGAAATAGGGCAGTCTTCAATGCGCATCCCCTTCATGGATAGTGTCATTCCAGGCGTTTGCTTCTTGTGCTTCTTTTCTCTGGCCTTCTTGATTTGTAGTGCATTTTAAGTTTACTGATACATAAAGAAGTGTGATTGTTCTTCCACTGTTCAAGAGGACTTTTGGCTGCTCCATTCACAGAGTGCTTCTAAGGCACTCTGGGTGCTTCTTTTAATTCCAGTTAAGCCTTGGACTCTTGGTACACAGCACAAGACAGAATCTAATTATTGAAATAATTATTATTGCCTTCTGTGCCTCATTGTGGTTTTTAAAACCCTGAGCCACATTTGGAGTCCCAGCTCTGGTCCCTGCTGGCACCAACGGGCAGTGATTGCAGTCTGTCAGCCCAGGAACAACGTGACTGCACTTACCTACAATGAGTTACTCATTTAAAATTATCCTGGTATATTTTTGACTCTGAAAAGAATATATGACAGCAGAAAGCTTTTCACTCTTCAATTAGTGCATTGTGATTTCAGTGGCTGCTTCTTTGAGAAGATGGTATGTCTGGCAATTTAAAAGTGAAGGTATAGAAGATACTAATAAGAAGATATTAAGTGTCATCTTAAGTGTTAAAATTTTTTCATTCAGACGTTATTTATATGCAGCACCTTTAGTTCTAGCTTCACTGAATCCTCATTACCATTCTTTTAGTCTGTGCTGAGAACTATGAGGGCTGCTCTGAAAGTAGTGCTGCCTCCTTCATTATGTCTACCCATGACATCAGAGGCAGATGGTGGTGGTATGACATAGAGGCTGAACCTTCCCACTAACATTGCATTACGTGGTGTTGCCGTGTGGCAGATGGCAGCAGGGGGACAGTCAGCAAAATGGTCTCTGATGTGGAAGGGCGTACGAAGAAAAGATGTGCCACTGAATTCCTCCATGTGGAAAAGACTGCATGCATTGACATTCATCAACACTTTGTGCACTTGATAGAGACCAAACAGTGCACATGAACACAGTGAGGCACTGGGTGGTGCATATCAACACTGATGAAATGAAAAACAAGCCACCTTTCAGATGGCTGTGCATAGCTGTCACACCATAAAACGAAGAGTGTTTCGATCAGTTCTTCAGCACGAATTAGCAGATTACAAGCAATGCTTTCATGCTTTGGAAACGATTATGGCAACACTGGAATATTACAAAGTTTGCTCCCAGTGGGTCCCACGAATGCACACACAGGAACAGAAGAGGCACCGTATGCAAGTCCTGTCAGAATCTGTTGATCCAGTGTGAGGCTGAAGGTAACAGTTTCCTGGATCACATCATTAATGGTGATGAGATGTGGTGTCGTCTCTACAAGCCAGATTCAAAACAGAAGTCTGCAGAATGGCAGTGTGAGTTCCCTATCAAAGAAAAACTTCAAGATTCAGCCCTCAGCAGGAGCGTGTTTTGTAGCTGAGAGTTTGCTCTTTCAAATAGCATTATTGTGCTCTATCTGTTGTAATTTCCATGGGAGTAAATAGTTTGGTTCCTGAAAGGTTTTAAATTATGTGTGGGTTAGTATATGTATTTGCTGTGTTTAAAGATGTTTTCAATATATGTATTTGACAGGAAACAAATTTTCATATATCCTCTTTTCCAGTGAAACCAGAATGTTTTGAACTTTTCTGCATTCTCAGCCTTTTCTTAGTGGTTAAATTAGAATAGCAAATGTTTTAATTGGTTGTAAAGGTGTATATGAGTAGAATAATCAAAAGGTTGAGCAAGAAGGTGAGGACAGAGATCCAAATCCATCATGTCTGGATTTAACGTCCAAGCGTCTGTCAAATTGGAATCTGGTTATGAAAGGTTGAATGTGGGGAGCATGTCTTTTTCCTGTGTAAGGCGAGTATGGCAATGTGGAGATTAAGATATTTTTTTTTAGGAACTGTACTGTAGCTTTCTCTGTTAAACTAATTACAGTCATTTAGAAACCATCTTGCATAGTCCACATAACTGGTTCTAGGCTGCTACCAACCCTCATTGCTGGCTCTTTTGCCCTGCTGCATCAGGCTGTAGATAGTTTTTGAGCACCACACCAATAAAAAGCTTTACAAGAGGGTATTTGCCCTGATTTCTTTGACTTAAACTCAAATCCAAGTTGCTTCTACTTATACAACTGTAAACACTGCTCTGAGTTTTAGGACAGTCACACTATATCAGAAGAGTGGCAGGGAGAGTTTGAACTAATAAACTAAGTTTACTTAGTATTGCACAAAGGCAGCCTTATCAAATTATCCACATTTGTTGCATCATATATAAAATGTGCCATTTGGAGCTGCTCACGCAATTTCAGCAAAAGCTGCACTGAGCAACATTAGCATATAATTTAAAATGAGGCCTTGGACATTTTTACTCCCTAATGATAAAAAAAATATGTATTGATTCTTGATTTGTGCAATAATGTGATTGCAGTGGAGATAATCGAATCATATCTGGTGGAGGATTTCGAAGGAGCACTCACAGCTCAGCATCCAGGGGTGGCAGGATACACGAGTGCCATCTTCTGCTTCTGGAAAGTTTCACCCATACAGTTTTCTGTTTTACATGGGGCTTTCCCCATGTAGATTTCATTTGAATAAGTAAAGTGAAATGAAATGACAAATTAGTAAGGAAAAAAATGGCATATTCGTCATGTGTGGCACAGAGAAAGCAGTACACCTCTCTTTAATGCAAATGATATTTTCACTTACTGATGGAATTGAGGTTCTGTCAATGAAAGGAAGTAACCTTACAACTTAACATTAATTATCAGCATCTCATAGTGATCTTCCTGAGCTTTGTCACTGATCTTTTAATATATTTGCATCGTGACAAGTGACTCAGCTTTTTTGCGCTGTAGTAAAACAGCTTTTCACATCAACTCAAATTTACAGGCAGAAGGAATGTTGCTAGAGAGGGACATGGCTTTATTTACTCTGTGTTTTTCTGACAGCGCTGTGTGGATTAGTCAGAGTCCACATCCAGTTATGTGATACACTGCAGAGTCTGAGCAGGTCTCAGTATTTTCTGTCCTTCCCATCTTTAAAGCACAAGCATCCTTGAGTTCCACCTTTTCTGTAGGGAGCCCTGTGTCTCTTCAGGTAATATAAAAGCAGAGATTCTGTAATTGCAGCCAACAGTGTCCTAGTGGCTGTCTTGATTGTACCTTAACTCCTTGGGGGTTAAAGTATGTTTGTTCTTTTCAGCTTTGCTGCAAAAAAAAAACCAAAAATTATTAAGAACATAGAAATATTGGTTTCAATCTTTTTCTTTTTTCCTGCTGCTTTTTGTTCACAGCCCATAGAACACCACCATCTGCATATCATAATGGGGAGAATTAGTAGAACTTTGTTTTAGAAAGGGCACACAACCACAGGTCTGAACTACCCTGAACCTTGAGATAAGATCAGAGCTGAACTTTGTTTCAAGTACCTCTCTGTTTTTCTATTAATAATAAACTAGTTACATATACACTGGTTTGTAGATCAGATGAAAGAGATATTTCATCATCAATATCTGGAGCATCTAACATTTATTAGGAAATAGCTTATATTGGTTTAATTCCATAGTATGCATTAATCAGTAACACTAGATATAATTAAGCATGTTTTGTTGTAGGCACAGTATTCTACCAGCTCTGTCTCACTGTTCTGCATCTAAAATCCACATCCCCTTCAAGTGTTCGAAGTTTCAGTAGAGTATGGCAGCAACTCTAGGCAGTAAAATACATCGCTTATCCTGCTGCTGTGATTGTATAAACATGCAGTTGTTTTCAACTCGTAGTTTGCTTAAAATGTGTTTTCCTTGCAGTAGGGGTGATCATTTTTCTCCATGACTTCTTCATCACCAGGCTAGTTGCTAAAAGGCTTTGGTCACCATCAGGACAGAGGACAGTTCTGCTAAGCCAGGTGCTTTGAATTTTGCATTCCTAAGAGTTAGCAAATTGCTAGAGTCCCTGCAGGAAGTCTGTGACTAAGCATCCAGTTGTGTTTGTGTCCAGCAGAGATTAGAGTCTTCAAGGGAAAGCTGGATGTTTTTTCTGAATCTGGTACCTCCTCTGGGAAAGCAGTCCTAAAGACTTGTATTAAACTGGGCTTCAAATTTGGCTTAGGTAAAACCTGCATTATATGTGAAATACAAGGAAGCTTCTTAAAGTGATTGAAAATATGACTACATATGGTTACTGCAGAAACACATGCTGAAATAAGCCCTGGTACATGGCTCATTCCTCTGGTTCCAGCTCACCACATCAGAGTTTTAGCATATCCCAGGAAGTGCATGTTTCCTCCGAATGCCTGGGAGTCTTTGGAAGTTCGTAGCACAGACTTTCTCTGTGGAAAATATCTGCTGCTCAGCACAGCAAGCTCCTTGGCTAGTGGAGGGTGCTGTAGAAAGTACATTAACACTTTGAGTTTCTAAGCAAGTCCATAGCATCAACACTGTGGAATAGCTACACAGTGAGTATAGGAATATATAGAAATGCATTAGATTGGGAAAGATGGTTCACATGGGTCCCAGTCTTACAAAGTACTTCACTTAACCCTCATGTGCAATATTTAAAGCATTATCAGTAAATTGCATGCTCAAACTTTAACTGCTTTACTGAGCTAAGGCATAAATAAGTGCATGAAGAGAAATTCTAGAGTAGAGAAATTGTCAATTTTGCAATGACTTTCATCCATCTTAAGTAGTGTTTTAAAGAGAATTCAAAAATCAGTTCTAAAAATGCCAGCTTTAAGTAATCTCTGTGTAACGCAGGTGGTCACATAGCTCATTTTAAACGAAGCACAAATAAAATAAACTGCATTTAAATATACTGATTGTATTCTTACAATTAATACAGGTATATAATATTAAATTGAAAGTCCTGCCTAAGTAAGGATCTGCAAATCATTAAGCCAGGGTGGTTAAAAAAAAAAAAAGCCAAGAGAAGGGGAGACCTCATAGCAGCATTCCAGTACCTAAAGGGGCCTACAGTAAAGCTGGAGGGGGACTCTATCAGAGACCGTAGAGGCAGGAAAAGGAGTGATGTCTTTAAAGTATAAGAGGATAGGTTTAGATTAGATACTAGGAAGAAATTCTTCACTATGAGGGCAGCAAGGCCCTGGCACAGGCTGCCAAGAGCGCTGTGGATGCCACATCCCTGACCCTGGGCAGATTGATCTGCTGGGGGCAGCCCTGCCCATGGCAGGGGGGTGAAATTAAATGGGCTCTAAGGTGCCTTCCAACCCAAACCATTCTATGACTCCATGATTCTGTTGGCTGCAAGGACAGAAAATATGAAAGGAGTGGAATAACCAGTGGTGCTTGTGAAGAAATAAGTTATGCCTTGCTGATAGTTGCTGATCTAGTAATGTTTTGTTTCGTTTTTTGAAGTTTATAACTATTTCTGTAACTGTATCTCATCAGCAAAGTGTTTTAAAAGAGAGAAAAGGCTAGTAGGAGATAGAGAACTCTGATAGAACTCTGCAAGAAAGAAATATCTCTATTGTAATACCTGAGTAAAAGAAGGTAGAAATAAATTGCCAGTTTTCCTAATGGAGGAATAATTTTATTAGGCTTCCTAGACACTTTTTTTTTTTTCTTTTCTTTTCTTTTTTTTGGGGGTGTCACAAACAGAGCAAATAGCAGCTTGGCAAAATTTACTGACAGCGAACTGAAAATGTGCCAATAATCTCATAATAGGAAGTGCTTGAGTGATAAAACAGCCAGTGGCATTTCAGTGCCACTAACTGCAGAGTCATGCAGTTTGCTGTGTATGTATACAAGTGCTTTGCATACATGACAACAGGATCCAGATTCGTTCTTTCCGGTAAGAAAGATCTGCAAATCATCGGGGACAACTGTCTGAAAGCTCAGTTCTTGGGGGCAGTGAAAAGCAGGGAGTTTTGGGCTGTGGGAGGAGAGCCTAACAAAAACGTCATGGGGAAGTTTGTTGGGAGATGCTGCAGTCACACAGAATCAAAGAATATCCCGAGCTGGAAGGAACCCCCAAAGGCCATCGAATCCAATTCCTGGCTCCACACAGGACCACCCAACATTCAAGCCCACCGTCTGAGCGCTGCCCAAACGCTCCCTGAACTCCGGCATGGGGCCGTGTCCGCTGCCCCGTGCAGCCCGTTCCGTGCCCGCCGCCCTCCGCTGCAGCCCCTGTCCCTGACCGCCACCCGCCCCTTCCCTGACGCAGCTCCATGCCGTTCCCTCAGCCCTGTCGCTGTCACACTCCTAGCATGGGAGCTGTGGCATACCCGCATGATGTGATGGAGCACGCAGTGCACTGCCAGGGGAAGGTGTGGGGAGCAGAGCTGTAAATAGGTTCCAAGTTTGGATTAGTGAGTCTGTGGAGGATCACTTCAGCAGAGATGGTCAAAACGAAATGGACCGCATGAAGATGTTTGGTATTGGAGCCATCCAGTCCAGTGGTACAGAACACTTCCCAAATCGGTCTTGATTTAAAACAGGCTCAGTGGGTTGAGGGAGAGCTTCCAACACCTTTTCCTGGTGAATCTTCAACTGTTTTGTTGTTGTTGTTGTTTTTTCCCCAGTCAAGAGCAGTTCAGGGCACTGCTTTAGAAACTGATGTTCCTGTGCGCTATGGAGTAGAACTGCTTACTTTCCCAAGACTTGATTTTACGGGGCTCTATTCTGTAAGCATAGGTTGAATCTCCAGCTGCCACTGTTCCTCCACTGCAATGAGTGAAAGGTTAATATGTTGCAAACATAACTGTGATAATCCTCAACTGTAATTTAGTCTGTTTAGTGTATCCTGAGGATTAATTCTTCAATGCATTGGGCAAAACAAGAAATAATACATGCTTCATATTGTCTCCCTTACACTGCAGTTTCATTTAATTAGCTGCTGAAACAACCTACTGAAAGCCTTCTGTCTGCCTTGTTGTTTGAATCATGAATTTTAAAGACTTTTGAGAGAATGACTCAGGAGGTGAAACAGCGGGATTTCTGATGTTATTTATAAGCTCTGTACTGGAAACTATTTCAGTGTCTCCAGCCATGAAACTTGGGCAACTTAGCCTGTAATTTCATCATCTGAGACTAAATGACAGGAGACAAAATGCTGTCAGTGCCCACTAAACAGCAGTGACATTCTCCATTGTCTCCACATACTTGAAAAATGGGTAATGAAATAATAGACGTTATAGCCAGCTATCAAGTACAGGTTGTCCCATGAAAGAAGAGGTAAATATGTGCGATAAAACACATGCAGGGAATTCCTACAAAAATTGGGTTTTTGTAAGTGAAATTGTTCTGAAGATTGCTCATAACTGAGGACAGCACAGAGAATCAGGCAGCACAGCCAGAATCAACCAGCACAAGCAGTGAGATGCCCCGTGGGGCTGCAGCACTGGGGATGTAGTTTCCCAGTAAGCCCATGAGAAACAGGAGTATAACTGTAGTAGTTTTAATGCCTGACCATTTAGGATGTGAGATGTTGCTGGGATTTAGACAGACAAAACAAAAAGTGGAATAAGAAACATTATTCCTGTTCAAATCTTTTATCTGTATTTTTCTTTGATAGCTCTTGGACACATACCCTTTTGAGGAAAAATCATGTGTCTCCTCACCTCTTCCCTGCAGTTTTGACCTTTAAAAATGTTCAGGACAGCAGTGCTCTGCTTATGAAAAGTGAGAGCCTGTTGATTCTGTTATTGCATGGGCTTATATGTAACCCCATCCCCCCATTTCACAGGGTATGTGGGAGCACAAAAGCTGAGTTAGCTCTCTGGTGTAAGCAGGAGAATGCTTATTTTATACTTCCCTGGTACACGGAAGTTTCTAGCTACATAGAATACTATGCTGCATCCCTTTGCCTATTTTCTTCTGAGTACTTGGTATAAAGAACATATATGTATGTGTTTTATCGAATCTTCCCTTACTGCCAAGGCATTGTGGTTTTTTGTGTGCTCCTGAGTTGGTGCCGTTATTGTTAAAAAGAGATTGGAGTCCATTTGAAAGTCAAGGAGTTTTTATGTTTCTGAAGGAAAAAAGAAATGAAAAAAGCAATCTGTTTTGTAGTCAGGAAAATTAGTGCAGAAATGAAAATAAAGTTTCAGATCAGATATTTGTATTTGCGTCTCACTCACTGCAGTTCTTTTTGCAGATTTGACGTTAAGATGAAGCTAGAAGATGTAGGCACTTGGAAGATGTTGTGTACAGGTGAAAATAATCTTGCAAGGCTTTTCTTTGAGCTTCATGTACTTTTGGAAACACTGAACAAAATATCCTTTCTGGAGGCATTTCTGACTGCTGTTAGAAGGTAGTATAGCTTGCTCAACAGGGCACTAGTCTAAGCTCGGATGTTTAGCATTTATTTCTTTCTCAGCAGCTGTGAGAAAATGGATGTGCCATTTCATCTCTGCATGCCTCTCTTACCCTGCAGTCCCTGTGGTCTATTTAGAGTGTATGCTCTTCTGAACTGGAGTCTTTTTTTTTTTTTTTTGGAGAGGTAAATATACTGTGTGAAACAGTGGAGTGGCAATTCTGTCATCTCCTCTAGGGATTGCTGTGAAATGAGATCTAAAAAAGTTACACATTGCTTATACATTGTGTTATTTATTAGCATATTAACTTCACTATATATGGCAATGTACATATAGAGATCATGGAGGTCAGTATCCTAAAGATCCAACTCTAGTTTTGAAGACTCAACACACTCAAGAGACCTGACACAAACAGTAGTATATGAAAGATTCATTGAATTTCTGTGTTACAGAATTCAGTTGAAAGCAAAAACAGCTGGGAAGCCATTGGTAGGGCAGTACAGCAGACATGCTTACTACATGACTTATATTGGACTTCATTTGGCAATTACATTTATTTGGTGTATAAAACAAAAATGAAAACAAATGTAGGGAGAAATGTAATGCAAAACATTTTGTACTGAAAAATTACCTAGTAGATATTACATGTTTCCCCCATTGAAGATTCCTCAGTTTTTGTGGAAGCTGTCTGTGCTCATAATCAGTAACTAATTTTTGAGTCATTGCACAAATGAGAAATAATTTTAAAGCTTAAATGTCTGTCCATAGAGTCCAGTTCCAGTGATGACCAGCTACAGCAGTGTATATCAAGGCAGTAGTGTGCCTGGCTGATTGACAAAAAGCACTGGTCATAACTGACACACTCATCATTCATTCTGGGATTCATTCATCCTTTTATCTCAATAGCAGTATCTCATCTAATTAAGTTAGCAAGAAAAAAATGTGGCAGACAGTTTATTAACGTGTGAAAAATTGCTGCTTGATGAAGATATGTTGTAAGACAGGTAAATATTCTGCTCACTAGCCAATTAATATTCACAGTGTGCATTTCATGCTGAGATCAGAGCTAGAAAGAATTGACTGTTTTTCAGAATTCCTCAGTGTGTGTGTGTGGGTTTTCATCAAGATACTCTTGCACAGCTGATTACTGAAAATGTGTTGTCACTATCAATTACCAAAGCGGCTGCTTTTACCTGCCTTATGCAGTACATCACACTGTTGTAAAATAGCTGGTCATGCAGAGATTCAAGAAATGAGTTCCAGACATGAAGGAGCAAAATGAGAATTGAAAAAAGTATTTATGGTATATGTGTTGGAAGAGATGTCTGAATTAGTCAAGGAATTGGCACCGGCGATAGCAGAATCAATCGCGCAGGGTGGGTGAGGCTGTAAGGGATTTCTTGGGATCATCTATCCAACCTTTGTGGATAACCTGTGCCAGTGTTTGACCCCTTTCACAATGAAAATTTAAAAAAAAAAAAAAAAGAAAAGAAAAGAAAAAGAAAAAGAAAAAGTGTTTTCTTGAGTGCAGATGCGTTTTAATGTGTGCAAATTACCTTTTCTTCTGTCAGTGGGCACTACAAAGAGACTGGTTCCCTTCCTTCATGTATGCCCACTGTTGAGACCCCCCTGAGCCTTCTCCAGGCTGAGCAGTCACTTCTCTCTCAGCTTCTTCTTACAGAACAACTGCTCCAGGCACCTTGGCATCTTGATGGCTTCCATTGCACTCTCTCCAGCATGGAGCTCCATATGGATCAATAGATGATGTTCCTGGAGATGAGGCCCCTGGTACAGCAGCACAGAAGGTGGCAAGTGTTATTCCTGCTGCACGTGGTAACAACCATCTGGGAGCAGGGCATAGTCATGACAGTAGCTCAGGCACATCTCAAACAGAACTAATGGAAAGGTGGCAGGGTTTACGATGACAAAAGCAGCAGGTTGTTATGTTTGGTTATTGCTTCTGGAAACAGTGACCATAATTCACATTAATAAAGTAAAAAGAAATTGACTGCTTTGGTGTAGTTTTACACCACTACTCTGTTTTTCTCACAGCTTCATGGTGGTGAATCAATCTGTGAAGAAACACTTGCACTTGATGGCAAAGCTTGGAAGATGAGTGGTCTCAAAGGACAGTGAAGCACTTGTGGAAGGGAAAAGGAGAAAAATGGATTTATGTTTGAAGGACTGGCTGAGCAGTGTGTAGCAGGCCTGCAACACCTGGCAATAATATGTTTCCTAGAGGTGGGATCTGATCACAGGACACCTGCCTGCTGTGCAAAGGGGACCCCTGTGATCAATGATTTTGCCAGCTCAGAGGACACCAGCATCACCCCAAGCCCCTCAGCGCAGTCTGAGTTTTCAACAGGCATCTGGTCACAGGAGGGCACACGCTGGTTGTATGTTTTTAGAATAATTGCCTTAATGGAGTAAGTTGGACAAGCTGTGCTGCTTGGCTGTGTAACCTGAGGACAAAATCAGTTTCACCAGCAGCTTGCTCAATGCTCACTAATAGGTCACGTATAAGGAAATTATCACAGGAGTAGAGAGCAGAAGAACAAAAAGGCAAAACCCCCACAACAAAGAACTCCAAAAGCCCAGACTGAGAAGTCAGAGGCATTGGCTGAGTGTTTGTGAGCATTTCCCACCGATGGCAGATGAGTGAGGCGGTGCCTCGCTGCCTCAAGGAGATCCCTACTGAGTTTGCTTTAGGCCCCTAAGCAAACACACAGTCCAACCCAGGAGGACTGTTGGCCTCAACATTTACCCAGACATGAGATTTTCTTCTGTGGCTCTAAGGGAGTCACAAATGGCCCTAAGTGGCAGCCTTTAGACAGCTGAAATGCATCACTCTGCTGAAGAGGGATTCCTGCCATCCTGTAATCAATTATCTATGTAGTGTCTTACTGAAACTGATTAATTATTTTCAGGTTTTGATTTTCAGTATTTTTGATGCATTTGAATAATGAGTACAGTATTTGGCAGCTGCCTTTAACATTCCCTATTTTCATGCCATAACATTTACTACCTCCAGCTAAAAGCAGTTTCTCACTGAATTCCTTATTGGCCAGCAGTGTTCCTCATGTGATTTGCATCACTGTAAATCTGAACAGACTGAAAAAGGCCAATTAAAGAGGGTTGTTTGGCAAACATTCCCTTTTTCTTTATGGGTGTTCTTGCTCTGCAATCTGGAACAGAAGAAAGCAGAAAAGAGCATAAAACGTAACAGTGGAGCATGGAGCTCATCACTGGTTTTTCTGTTTGTGAATTGGTTCCACCTGGAAATCAGAGTTATGTATCTCATGTATACCTGTGTAACACCTCCCATCTGAGGATTTTAAAGTACTTAACTAAACCATTCAACATTCTTGTGAAGCTGTTGCTATCCACTTTGTAGATAGCTAGCATGGAGATGGGTAAATAATTTATTGGCAGATCTATGAGACATGGCTACTCACCTGTTTTTTCTTGACTGCTAGCTTATATAGCTTGCAAAAATGAATTTCCATTTGTTACTATATGTATCTGCTGTTCCTCAGGGAGTTTACACCATCTAAATAATAACAACAAATCTCTCCAGTGGGAAAAACAAAACAAAAAAAAAGCACAAAAATAATTGGTAATTAGTGCTTTAGAATTTGTATGTAAGTGAATTTTTCTGATTTCTTAATAACTGTCAAACTTCTGGAAGTGACAAATTTGGCTACTGGCCAGATTTTGCTTGAGAAGAGTTAATAATACAGTATCTGTGTTGAATCCACTAAGGTCAGCCAGCCAATCTACACTGAAATCTTACTGTCCAAAGCAGTATGCAGAATTCTCTCCCTTTCACCTAAATTCTGTGGGATAACTGTTATATTTAAAGTTTTTTTTTTTCCTGTTCATATATCAGAAAAAGGGCTGTGAGATCCCGCTGGCTTTATTTAAGTAATCTGACATGACTTCTGTCTGCAGAGCCCCTCAGAATTTCCCTCTTCAAAGTCATTTGCACAGGTTGAACTCAATCTGGGACATGTGCTGGTGAAGGGGCAATATTCAGCATCTTCCCACAGCCTGGCGACCTCTGAAAGCCATAAATATCTTCTGGCAACTAACGTCAATGTAGAGCACTCTCGTAGTTGGAGAAGAAGATGTGAAAATTGTTTACAGTTATATCTGTGTCCCAGGGTGTTTCATGTCTAGAAGCTTGTGCTGGGTGCTCTACTGTACACTTCTCTTGTACTCGAGGCCAAGAATACAGATTTTCACGTTTGTTTCTAATTACATACGATGAAACTCCTTTCTTTGGGTCTTTTCATTAGTCTCGTAAAATGTTCACAGCTCACTGACTTCAGTAATAGCCAAAGGCTTTCAAGAGTCAGCATGGCCAGATCAGGAATTCTTCAATATTTTCTCTACTGACTGGCTTTGTAACAAATCCTTCTGCACGAGTTTTTATACAGTAACTGCTTGGCGTCAAAGTTACATCATTATCTTATTTTTATATCAATTTAGAGAAACAAATATTTCAACATTTTGCAGAGTTAAACATTACAAAGTAAACATATTTATATTTGTTCCTTTCGCAGAGAAAAAAAAGACACTACCTTCTAAGTTAGTAACTACTATGATTAGTGGAACGTCTACTACAAATTCCAGCCTATTCATTTTTGCTGTGATTCTCATTAAAATGTTCAAAAATTATAATGGACTTGCCTCAGTGACTTAACTTGTAATGCTTCTGTAAGGCAGAATTCCATTAGTTAAAGGATTTATCATAGCTCAATTACTTCATGATTGCCAATATTTAAAATTATTCAGAATAAAATTTAAAAAGTGAATATGAGTTGACATAAATTGAATGTTACAATGATTGGAACATAATTCAGAACCTGTAACAAACCCATAAACTTGGGTAGGACTGCATCGATTCAAGTCAATGGTAAATAAGTTTCTTGAGCAAGAAGAGCCTCTTAAATGAAATCACAAAACCATGTAAGCGTATGTTGCAGCCTTTGGTCTTTCTGCATATCATGTCTTATGAAGGGATCTTCATATCAGATGGAAAAAAATCCCTTTTGTTTTCCTTCTCTCTAAAAGAGTAGTGAAACAAGCAGTCTAGATTAGTTCCCATTACAACAGGAGTTACACAGCAAGAGCTGGACTATATCCTGGATGACTATGAGTGATCAAAAGCTATGTACTATAGGAAAGTACAGTTATATTGTAAGAAATTCTTCTTTCATTCTCATCAAAGGCTTCATGCATCTCAGTGAAAAAAACTCATTATAGCAAGTCTTATGAACGCATGTGAATTTATCAAAGCCCTCATCATCTGATGCTGATTTTCCACTGCTTGTAAGTAAAGATATGAATAATTTATTTCTTATTTATAATCAAATAGTCCTGATTTTTTTTCCGTAGTACTTAATATAGTAGGAGTAGTTTCAGTCTGTTTCTGACTGTGGCCCATAGCTCTTACTCTTTAACTCATATCAAAACTTGTTTTCTCTGCTCTGTGAACATCCAAGGAAAAGAAGCTTTTGTGCTAGCAAAGAGAGCTGCACGCTTTCTATGCCTCAGCATTTTGCAAGGTAAATGAATCGAGCCCAAGAAATTACAAGCAGGGAATCAATGTGGTGTTGGCAAATACCACGTTTACTTATTTTCTGAATTTTAGGTAGAGTTTTCTTATGATGGGAGAGTCGTTTACAGTAATATAAAGCAAGTGGAAGCTGATAAAATGACAAGAAGATGGAAGCTGTGTGTGGTTTTGGACTCCTCAATATGTGAGATATGGACGTACTGGAGAGAGTCCAGCAGGGCCTTGAAGGTGCTGCAAGGCCTGCAGCCCCACTCCTGTGAGAAGAGGAAGAGAGACCTGGGCCTGTTCAGCATGGAGCAGAGGAGGTTCTGGGGGACCTCATCAGTCTACATAAACACCTGAAGGGAAGATGTTAAGAAGGCAGAGCCAGGCTCTATTCAGTGGTGCCCAGTGCCAGGACAAGAGGCCGTGGGCACAGAGTGGAGCACTGTAGGTCCTTCTGAGCAGCAGGCAGCACTGCCGTGCTGTGCGGTGTCAGCGCTGGCACAGGTTGCCCAGAGGCCCTGAGGTCTCCTCCTCTGGGGACTGAGCCCCGCTCTGGGTGTCTGTGCTGGAGCAGGGGTGAGCCAGATGGCCCAGAGAGTCCTGCCGGCCCAGCCATCCTGGGGTTCTGGGATAAAAGCAGAAAGAAGAGGCAAGGATAGCGAACTCAAAGTGAATTAATAGCAAGGAGAAAGGTTGTCAGGGTGAGGCAGTGGATGCTGGACCACGTGGAGGAGGGCCGGAAAGAGAAGTGACAAACACCTCACCAATGTCTGCAGTGTCTGTTGGACAGCAGCTCCTTCCACTTCTCTTGCTCTCATTCTTTGAGGCCTTAAGTGACTTGATTCCTCACCAGCAGTATTTGTACTCCCTGAGCCCACGCTGCTTGAGGAAGCTCAGACCTTTCTGTGTGCCAGAGGGAGCCATTTGTGCCTGACTAGGAAGAGCCATGGCTTCCATTACCCAACTTGCATCTGCCCCTGGGTGACAGGGACTCTTGACAGCCACTGTGATGTAGCGTGCTGGGTTATCTCAGGTGATCTGGAAAACTGCTCTGAAACAGCACATCATTGTGGTGAACTGAGACTCGTAATCAGAACCAAAAAGCTTTTCTGGCACAGGTCACAGCAAAAAAAGGACTGATAACTAACCATAACTAACCAACTAATCAACGGAGTAGGCATAAATATTGATACGAGGTCTCATGACTAAAGAATTCTGTGGAATTGAGAACTGAAGGAAGTGCTGCTGTGTGTGAGTTATTGTATGGATTTTCTTGATTGGACTCTGGTAGTCTTGGATGGAAATGGATGCACACTGTTAAAGGGGGAATTAATCTCTCTGGGGAAGTGCAGCTTTCTCCCGATGTGAAGTTATGTTGCCACATGTAGACTCAGGTCAGCTAACATAAACCTACAAACAGCACATGCCATGGCTCTCTGCAGTTATTATATGGAACTTTATACAGTTGTATGTGGATTTAATAATAAGCAGTGCAGAAATGGATTCAAGTTTTATTGTCTGCTTTAAATATTTGTATTCCTATAATGGAATATTGCCCATTTTTCTCGGTAGGTGCCAGCTTGCGTGATGACCTCAGTAAATACTTCTGGTTTCATCATTCTCAAGGGGACACGATGACAGTTCAGGATCCAAACCAGATGAATCTCTGTGCTGCTGTTTGGGCTGTTGTCTCCTATATAATTGCTGACATGGAAGAGATGCTGCCAAGGTAATAAAGAGTCAAGAGAGAAGATTTCTGTTCATCAGTGAAGACTGTGAGTCCCCGTGTAGACACGTGGTCTACAGCTGTGGGAAATTCCTTTTTTCACCCTGATTTTGCACATTATTTTGTCTGTTTTCTCCAAAGCGTATACTCTCTTACACACTCCTGGTTCTTTTTGCTGTTTTAACGTTTTCCATTTATGATTTTCGCAGTTACCTGAATACTTCTAAAATTTCTGATGAAAGTATGGTATCTCTTTGGTATGATGAAGTAATCATTTGTATGCAAACTGATCATTTGCAGCAGAAAAAATACAACAAAATAAATTTGTCGCATCAGAATAATCATTGTGTTAGTACATATTTATGGTTTTATTTTCTGTCTTTCAGCCTGTGTATTCAAAAGATGTGCAATTAATCTTTTCTTCTTTCACTTTTAAGGTAATAATGTGCTTTTTGGTCCCAGAACAAATTTATCTCAGCTGTTTTAATGGTAATGTATGGTAGAATGGTCAAATTGGTAAAATAGCATGGCTTTTAATAGTTCACTCAGTTTCTGCTGTTAAATCATATTAGAAGTTACTTCATGAAAGACTCAGATAAACCAGGATGGAGGATAGGAAGTCGGTAACAGGATGTCCAGATCTGTAGACAGCAGCAGCTCCCATGTGTCTTTGGTCACCTCCCCACAGAAATCTGTGCCTTGTTCTCTTCTTTCTGATGGAAGACTCCCCACAATGATAAGCAGAGAATTGCGTGTGGCAATTTTTCTCTGAAACTGGTGATATTCCAGAAAAAGCCATCCAAGTTGTGATTGTGACCTTCACTACCTGCCAGCTGATGTCCAAACGAGGCGTAAAAGCAGATTTTGATTCCCGCTGCTGGAGACATTCTCAGAGCAGCCCTCTTTGCTGGGGTCCTGTGCTCTGCTGGAACAAAGGCAAGAGGACCCTGGCACCTCTTTCAAGGAAGAATTAATGTGAGAATTTAATTCTTGCTTTTGGTTGGTTGTTGTTGTTTTGTTTTCCTGCTGAAAGATTATGTATATTCAAACTTTGAGAGGTGTCAAGAGATAAGATGTGACTGCTGTTGGGGAATGTTGTGGGGCGTTTATTTCTTCTCATTTCTGTGTGACATGGTGATTTCTTCTCCTTTTAAGTTTTGCAACAGGCAGCCTTACTGATGTAACCAAGTGTTGCAGTCTAATCAACGCAAAACAACTAATGTAACAGAGTGTTAAACTGAGTGGCAGCCCATCTCTGGTGCTGTTTATGAGTTCAGTAGTTGAACAATAGCTTAGTGATGAGCCACTCATTTTTATGGAATTAATAACTGTGATACCTGTTTACCACGATAAACCCCCTAATAGTGGCTGTACGTCAACTGAATTAGATATTTCAATTTTCCTTCCAAATCATTTCAGGAACATAAGGGGTGCCTAGAGATATCCTGCTATTTTTTTTTTTTTTTTTTTTTTTTTTTAAGAAATACTATTTAAAGAAAGATAGCAAAAATTTCCTCTGCTTTCAAGGCATGACAAGTGTTTGTTTTTTCTTACTTACATGACAAAAGTGTAGCTAGTGGTGCGTATCATTGATGGACCCTCAGCTGCCTCTGAATGCAGCCTTTTGACCTTCACGAATATTACTGGATGCTTCTTCATTTTTGTTCTAAATCCTTTTTTCTTGAGGTATGGTGCTCTGCACATCAGAGGTTCAGGAGAGTTTTCAGTGAAATTATATTTGTTGTTACAAGTCTTCACATGTGCTCACCTCAAAACAGGCTTTATTTGTGTGTTTTTTTCCTCTATAGGTGAATTGGACAGTGGGTGGGTTGAGAACTGGCTGACTGGCAGAGCACAGAGGGTCATTGGTGGTGCAGAGTCCGGTTGGAGGCCTGTAACTAGCAGTGTTCCTCAGGGGTCGGTGCTGGGTCCGGTCTTGTTCAACATCTTCATCAATGACCTTGATGAGGGGATAATGGCCACCCTCAGCAAGTTTGCTGATGATACGAAGTTGGGAGGATTGGCTGACACACCTGAAGGCTGTGCTGCCATTCAGCAAGACCTGGATAGGATGGAGAGCTGGGCAGGAAAAAACCAGATGAGGTTTAACAAAAGCAAGTGTAGAGTCTTGCATCTGGGGAGGAATAATTGCATGCACCAGTACAGGTTGGGGGATGACCTGCTGGAGGGGAGCTCTGCGGAGAGGGACCTGGGTGTCCTGGTGGACAACAGGTTGGCCGTGAGCCAGCAGTGTGCCCTTGTGGCCAAAAAGGCCAATGGCATCCTGGGGTGCATTAAAAAGAGCGTGTCCAGCAGGTCGAGGGAGGTGATCCTCCCCCTCTACTCTGCCCTGGTGAGGCCTCATCTGGAGTACTGCGTCCAGTTCTGGGCTCCCCAGTACAAAAAAGACAGGGATCTCTTGGAAAGAGTCCAGCACAGGGCCACAGAGATGGTGAAGGGCCTGGAGCATCTCTGCTATGAGGAAAGGCTGAGTGAACTGGGTCTGTTCAGCCTTGAGAAAAGAAGACTGAAAGGGGACCTGATCCAGGTCTATAAATATCTAAGGTGTGGGGGGCAGAATGGCGAGGCCGGACTGTTTTCGGTGGTGAGTGGAGACAGGACAAGGGGAAACGGCTGGAAACTGCAGCACAGGAAGTTCTGCACAAACATGCGCAAGAACTTCTTTACAGCGAGGTGACGGAGCACTGGAACAGGCTGCCCAGGGAGGTGGTGGAGTCTCCTTCTCTGGAGATGTTCAAGACCTGCCTGGATGCCGACCTGTGCGACCTGCTGTAGGGAACCTGCTTTGGCAGGGGGGTTGGACTCGATGATCTCTGGAGGTCCCTTCCAACCCCTACAATTCTGTGATTCTGTAATTAAATTCTTAAATGCCTCAAGTCAGATCTTTTGATGTCTTTGGAGTCAGGAATGCTCTCTGGAGAAGAGAACAATGCTGCCGTATGTGCGTTGACTCCACAGTACATCCCAAGATGAGCTTGTTGGCTCGTCGATTAAATAAGCCTTAAAAACTAGGGTCATCGTGCTCCTGATGAAAATTGAACCTTCATAGTAACTTTGGATGCATAGAAGACCTGCAGAGCAGATGTAAAATCAAAATCACGATCTTTTTGTTATGTTAATGGTAAAATTAAAACATGTTTCTTGAATTGAAAACCAATCTTTTTTTTCCCTAAAAAGCAGGGTTTTATTAAATAATAATCATTTTGATTATGATCTTTTTGATCTTTTTGACTCACCTGTTCTATTTGGTCTGACTTGTAACGGTTCTCAGATCTTAAGTTTCTCATGCTCGCATTATTCTCCTGATGTCCTTTGTCGTTGAGATGTACCTCTCAAAAATTTCCATAACGGAGAGATGGTAATGGATTTCTTTCCCTGTGGGCTTTTGTACTCGCTGTGCAACAGCT